TGTGGGTGTGGGTGTATATTCATATTTATATATGTATATGTAAAAATATCCCCCTTTTGCTCCTTGCTCTCTCTCCTACCCACACTTCATTCCCCGTCCTCTTCTCCGCCTGCATCCACCCCCTCCTCCTCCCCTCCTCTTCTGCCCTCTCTCTCCCTTCTTCTCGTCTCCCAGTCCTTAATATTCCTCCCGGAAGCCGTCGTAGCGGTGGCAGGAAGCGACGTACGTAAACCCCTGAAATATTCCCCGGGCCCGCTTAGAAATGCCTGTTGTCCTCTCCCGCCCGCAGCCAGGGAGCGGCGGGGCGGAGGGGGGAGGGGGAGGGGGGGTCGAGGAGTTGCCCGAGGTCGACGGTGCCATCCTCGCGTCGAGTGGCACTCCTTCAAGCGAGGATAACAAAGGGCGGGGTTTGTTTGCCTTCGCTCTTGCTTTTCTCTTCTGTTGTGGACTATATAGGAATGTGTGTATATATATATGTATATATGTATATGTATATATATATATATATATATATATATATATATATATATATATATGTATATATATATATAGAGAGAGAGAGAGGGAGAGAGAGGGAGAAAGAGAGAAAAAAAGAAAGAGCGGGAGAAAGAGAGAGAATGGGAAAGAGCAAGAGCGAGAGAGATTAAGAGATTAGGTATATGTGTGTTTGTATGTGCTAGCTTGTGTACGTGCGACTGACTGTATATGTATGTTTTACATTATGTAAAAGTCGCCAGCCACGCTTATAAACTTGACATGTACACATTCTGCCCGTGACATCGAAGCCTAAGGCGAGCCAATTGCCGCCGCGCCACCCGTTAGTGCTGCTGACGCTGAACATCGAGAGAATTCGGCTGGTAATTGGGCCTTCATCCCCGGTGTCGGCGTCAGCACCGTGGGCTTGAACATCTCGTCAGCGTCGGAAATATTTCTCCGGCCCTCAGGAATTGCTCGAGATACACTAAATCATCAGTCTCCATGTTTGAATCCCCCTTGCTCTATCGTTTATCTCTGCGGCGAGGTATTTCACTGGTTGAACGCCAGGAAACGTGAACTAAAATATATATGAAAAAAAAACAAAACAAAAAACAAAAACAAAAAACAAAAACAAAAAAAAAACATGAAATAAAAACGTATAAGATAAATAATAAAATAATATCATGCATTTAGTTCGGTTTGGTAAATCTAGTTCGTCGAAAGAAGTACAAACACAAATAAAATGAAATAATAAAGAGACTATCGGTAACCTAGCAGATGGTGTGAGGGGAAGCTGGTCGTTAACAAGGGGAAAGAGAGCTAGCGGCCAGGGTCGTTATGGTCCTTAATGGCTTGTTAGGTGCGGTCTTCATCTGCGATTTCTCCTCCCGATTATTTTTATTTACTTTTAATCTTTCTGTCGCAGTTGAGGCCAAGCGGTGCTGTTGTTTGTTTGTGTGTTTGTTTGTTGAGATGAGAGGGTGTGGTTTTGTTATTAGTGGTTATATAGTTATATATTGGTTATATCATTATCGTTATCACCACTATCATTATTACCATTATCATTGTCATTGCCATTTCCATTCTCATTCTCATCACCACCACCACCATCATCATCATCATCATCATCATCATCATCATCATCATCATCATCATCATCATCATCATCATCATCATCATCATCATCATCATCATTATCATTATCATTACCCTCCTCCTCCTCCTCCTCCTCTTCCTTCTCCTCCTCCTCCTCCTCCTCCTCCTCCTCCTCCTCCTCCTCCTCCTCCTCCTCCTCCTCAACACCACCGCAACTGCGCCCACAACCATCAACAATTACCACCACCACCAAACACCTCATTAGTATGCGTTTGTAGATAGCATATGCAGGCCTTTTTGTATACCAAAGTACTGAATATACTCCAGAAATACTTTTTTATGATTTTTTTCGTCTTCTTTGTCTCCCTTTCGCAGACTCTCCATACCGACGTGTGTACTCTCTTGTTGTTAATTTCGCTTCTCCTTCTTTGTGTCTTGCCTCGGGGGACGCCACTCACCTCTCGTCTCTCGCTCCTTTGCTTCTGTCTACTTCATGCGTTTTAGTCCGGGTCGGGAGGAATTTGAGCCTGCGTCCCAAGCCAGCTTTCTTGCTTCTAGCCGCCGTTTGGTTGGTTGACTGTTCGACTCTCTTTTTCTTACTTTGTCTGTTTGTTTGTTTTTCTCTCTGTCTGTCTCTCTCTCTCTCGCTCTCTCTCTCTCTCTCTCTCCATCTCCATCTGTCTATTTATGCCATTTATGTCTTTGTGTGTGTGTGTGTGTGTGTGTGTGAGAGAGAGAGAGAGAGAGAGAGAGAGAGAGAGAGAGAGAGAGAGAGAGAGAGAGAGAGAGAGAGAGAAAGAGCGTGTGTATGAGTGTGTGCGAGCGTGTGTGTGTGCGTCGTTTTATACAACTTCTAACAATAGTCCTGTCGGATATCACGTCCCTTCCCTTGTGAATACATCTCACAAGGGCGCTGTGACGGGAATATATATAGGCATCTGCATAGAACGCTCGTCTACCGTGCTTGAGCTGCGGCCAGCAGGCTTAGCAGCGCTTCCTTCATTGCATATCATATGATCCAAGTTCCTATGCCGGTGCCATTAGCTCATGTCCCTTTTCTCTGTGCAATTTTCTAGGCGTCCTACGGAATCTCGCGGATGGGCGGCACCTCTCCAGAAACCGTTTTGATTACTTTTTCTTTCTCGTCTCACTTCTTCCTTCTACAACTTTCCCTCCCTCCCTCCTTTCATCTCTCTCTCTCTCTCTCTCTCTCTCTCTCTCTCTCTCTCTCTCTCTCTCTCTCTCTCTCTCTTCTCTCTCTCTCCATTTTCCTTCTCTTTGTTGTTTATATACGTCGAAATATACATAATAGCCTCTCATAGATTTCCTTGTTATAACCATGTCTTTGTTTATGGGCGACAGAAATATCGAGCGACAGACAACAGCTTATATATGGCGACGATATGAAAATAACTGCCAGCCACAGAAGTACTCTTGAAAACATGATGAAGGACGACGCACAAACGTCAGGGAGACGCGTGAAACCAAATCTCATGTTCAGAAGAGCTATGAACATATCCTCTCCCACCTCTACAAATACCCCACTGCCTTACCTACAGCTGTAGCTTCTGAGTGGGTATTCGTAACATCCTCTCAGATGCCAAAAATGGCCAAGGTCTCGGAATTTCTTACAAGCTGGAAATGAACTGATGTTGAAAATAATCATTCATAAACTTAAAATGTAACAGAAAGTAGTTGAAATCAGTGGTCATTCTTTCAGGAGTTCTTATTTGAAAGAATGAAGATTTCGTTTGTGCTCTTACTCCAAGAGATTTGTAAATGAATAACTAATGATATGCATATAAAGATATCTTGGGAATTCTTGTTATTTTATAGCAAAGATATATTTGTTGAATACTGAAACTCCTGTATCGATACCAGTTTCATATCGATCAGTTCAACATTTATATAAAAAAGTTATGAAAGTTATGTATGAGCTGCACCTACATATCCGGGATGGTACTTAAAAATATCCTCGCTAAAATAAACCATGGAAGGTTCATAATGCATATAACATTATTCGAATTTTATTTACTATTATTTAAAAGTTGCTGAAACGATAATTACTTAGTTTTAAAAATCAAACACGAAAGGAAAATGTGTTAAAATGTAGTATATTAGCATCATAAATTAATTTGAAGTCACACTTTTGTGCATCGTTTTTACTCGCATCTAGTAGCTAAAATATTTCTAAATGAGGGAAGCATTATGCTCTGAAATACAAAATTATAAATTGCTCATTTTGTGCATTTAATGGGAACCTCGCTATTTACACGGTTTTTACGTTAGGGAACATTTTACAATGATGCTTCTTGCAATAACGTATAGATAATACAAATAGGTGTATTGCATGATACGTTATAGGCCTTCCCTTCAACCTGCAGGAATTAATCATAATTAAGACTACAGCTTCTGGGTCTGTTCGCTGGAATAGTGCTTACACTTAGTTCGTTCTAGCAGTTAACGCATCACACTATCTAGTTTAAACTTTGTGGCATATCCTCCAGCCTTCAGTGGCAAGTCAATTCAATATTCGCTACTCGAGTTTAGGAGATGTATGGAAATTCTATTGAGTTATTTCAAGATCACAGCAGAGATTCCTCATCAGTAGCCTTGTTGCCACGGGAGGTTCAGGATTCTCTCTGTGGTTGGCGATTGAATTCAAAATGATATCCTGATGGCAAAGGATATGATATTTCCAAATTTGATCTCTGATGTTAGTATATACACTGAAACGCTGAATGGCAACAGATAAAAGATAGTCAAAATCGGACGGTTTTGAAATCTGAACTTTACCTTTAAACAATGCTTAAGAGCTTTCTGTGAGAATCAGATTTTACCAGCTTTGCCACAACGTATACTTTACATACTTTGCATACACCGCTAACGACATTAGAAGTTGGCGCAACAGAAAATTCTAAATAATCAGCCTTATAGAATTAGATTACCACAATGCAATACGTGAGTCTGGTCAAGATTATTCTCCCAGCCACCTTACATACTTAGGAGATTTACATTTTTAAAATTTATTTTCATGGGCAAAACTAGGCCTAATTAGGTTATATTGCTACAGAGCAAACTTTGAATTTTAAGCAATTCAATACCTTGGTATCCTTTTGTATGTTCTATTTTAGTCATATCACATATTTCCAGTAAACTCTGCTCGGAAGAAGCGTACAAGAATACTTCAGACCCTTGAATTTTTGTAATGTTTATGGCAACTCTCGAAAGAAAAGCAAGCGATATAACAATATATTTACGAAGTATATGTTTTCTTTTTGTTTGTGTGTTCATGTGTCGGCTTCCTAAAATGCTGGACATTTTATCTGCACTTTTAAGTTTATGTAAACTTGCCGAATGGGTCATGAAAGTAGGCCTACAGTATGTTATGCTCCGTGAGCAAGTCATAAACTCTAGTTCACGTATATATGGAGCTCAAGAGAAAAGTAAAATTGCCTCATGACATGAAATATTTAGTAAGGTGTACCACCTTACCTTGCGGCTCTGTGTCTCCAAAGTAATATTAAAATCCCACAGCGTCGAATTTTTAAATGTCTCTTGGGAGATTGTAGGCCTATGTAAGTTTGATATGAAGAAGATATGATGGAGTAGTAGTGTTGTTTTCAACAATTCCTTATATCTTAAGCAGGAATTATTTATAATGTATATTGTATCACGTTATATTCAGCAAAAAATAGTTGATCAACGAAAAGTATATCTGTGCAGTGAAAAAGACGAACTCGAATGTCAACGAACGTGTTGCTTTGAGATGAGCATTATTATTCTGAAACAAAGCCCATGAGTTTATGAGGTTTTGTATATACCATCAACTTCACATACTTCCTGTTTCTTTATTACAGTTTCTTTAAATGAATATATCATGCTTTTCCTTTGTCTTGTTTTTTGGGAAGAATGACTGGTATAACAGATTGTCTTCGTTGTTTGCAATATGCCAAATAAGGAAAAATATGTTAATTTACATTATATTCACCTCCCTACTTTCTCTTCGAATACCTTTTATATACAAGCAAGTTGTTTGAATTAGCGACAATTACGATTAGCGATATTACAGCGTTGACTAATTTCTCGTGTTTTCTTTCCAGGGGGCCGTTCAGTCTGGTGCGACGATGCGTCCACAGAGACACTGGACAGCAGTTCGCGGTCAAGATCGTCGACGTGGCCAAGTTTACATCCGCCCCTGGCTTATCCATCAATGGTGAGTGATTTGGCGTGTTTGCTGTGACTCCTTCTCAGTCTGTATTCCTTGTAGCGGTTTCCTGTTGGCATTTTTATTATTTTTAATTGTTTTATCGTATGTTACGAGTCAGATTCTGGTAATGTTACAAATCTAACAATTCTTCTATGAAAATATCGTAATATTATTTGGAAAAAAGTGTAATCCCATTTTTTTCGTCTCCTTCCCGCGCTTGAGCCGGCTTCATCCGGGAACCTCGCTAGCTGTCACGCAATTAGTAGCGAATGTCACGTGATATGATAATGAGCCAATCACCTAAAGAGACGGACAGAAGAGCGCGTTTATTCAGAATTCAAATTCAGTCTCGAGATGAGTATGTGTGACGAAAGTGAAGTCTCGAAATATATATTATATGACTATACAACGTTTTTTTTCGTATAAACCGAGTTTTACTGTATGCTTTAGCTGGAACATACAACATAATAGATATGAAGATCGGCCTTCTTGTGTATCAGCTCTTAGTAAGGAAAGGCAACCGAGGAATGTTCATTATTATTTCCTCTTTATTGGTTCATACTCTTACGGTCATTCATTTAGTGTTGCATCATTCAAGATGCGAGTTAACCGTTCATAGTTGACAAAAAGTTAGGCCAGTTTCATCACAGCTACTTTTTAACATCATCAAATGTCATGAACCTATTTTTAATTCTAGCGTGACATTGATACTTGCAATATCATGTCTTATAGTTGTAGAGATGCCTTTTGCAACCAACTGACAGGCACCATAAATAACATCACAAAAAAACAAGTTAACTGCAACGTTTATTACAAGAATTTATTTCGCATTCTTGACACAAGGTCGTGACAAATGGGTCTAGTGACTAAATATCTCACATTTTTCATTAACTCCGCCATCCTCCGCTTTATGGGATTATGTATCAGCTAGACGTTTGTATCTTAATATTTTTTTTCCTCTCGGGTAATAGATAACGAAATGTCTGTCCCTCTTAGAACGCAGCAGTTCCTGGGATGGGGATGGGGGGGAGGGGCTGAGAAACTCGTAAATTTCCCGTGGGTTAATGACTCGCTGGAAAGTCGTCGTGAAAATAAGTTGAGGGTATCAGGCGAAGGTGTACGACCATACATTACGGCGCTGGAGTAGAGCCAAGCCGCCCTCGGGTCTGGCTGGGCTTAGCTGGGCTTGCCTCGCCCTGGCTTGCCTCGCCCTGGCTTGCCTCTCCCTGGCTTGCCTCTCCCTGGCTTGCCTCTCCCTGGCCTGCCTCTCCCTGGTTTGGCTCGCCTTGGCTTGGCCTGGAGTTGTCAGGGTACGCGCGCTCCTGAAAAGCCGCTAATCTATTCTCATTTTCTCTCTTTTTTTGCATCTCGTTAGGGACACCGGGGCGCGAATATTATAGGCTGCTCAAGGCCGTAATCAGGGGTGGGGGGAGGGGTGTCTGTGCCTCGTACTCCTCCGCACATCTTGGAAATGGTAATGATTCTGTGAAGATAATGATTTTATGAAGTTTAATCCAATATTCATGTTTGCTACATGAATATTGGATTGCTCTGTACACACACACACACTCACTCACTCACTCAGTCACTCACTCACTCACTCACTCACTCACTCACTCACTCACTCACACACTCACTCACTCACTCACTCACACACACACACACACACACACACACATACACACACACACACACACACACACACACACACACACACACACACACACACACACACACACACACGCACACACGCACGCACACATACACACACACATACACACACACATACACACACACATACACACACACATACACACACACACACACACACACACACACACACACACACACACACACACACACACACACACACACACACACACACACACACAAGCGCACGCATGCATATAAATAGAAAAATATAGACATAGATTGGTAGATTTTTTTATTTATTTATTTATTTATTTATTTGTGTGTTTATGTATTTATTTATTCATATATATTAGCAGCTAAATTTGAATATGTTACAAGACTTTTTGTTAGTCTTCTTGTACTTCCTTAGACGAGACATTCACACAGTAGACAATAATTGCGATCCACAACTACAAAATCAATTATAATTTTGTAACGGTCGATGATTGTGCTGTTTTATTCCGGCTGTCTTTGTGTGAAGGATTTTGTGCAGTGCAGCGCAAATATTGTGAAAAACTCCTTATGGTGAATAATAAGTGCCATTCATGTCACATTTGTTGGCTGTTCCGTCCGCTTTAACTCGACTAATATTTTCCATTGGCAGTCATTAATTCCTGCTGCAATGCAGATTGGCCAGTCTCTTGCCTGACGAGCTAATCTGTTCCAGCCACGACAGCGAATGATTTGTTGGCATTCAGGAAACGACCCTAAGCCACTGCCAGACATCATTACCGGGTCAATCGCCTGTAAGATTCGCAATTAAATTGAATTATGACTCGTGTCTTAGGCCAAGGTTCAGAGCAGGGGGGCGGGGGGGGTGAGCCAAGGGAGAGAGAAAGGGGGGGGGGGGTAAAAGAATGAGCCTAAGGGTGGAGATAAGTGTGAGGATTTTGTTGTGGAATGAGGCGGGGGGGAGGGGAGGGGGTAATAAGGGTGAGATTCAGAGGAAGAATAATTGGGGGAAGGCAGAAAGGTGGGGATAAATTAAGTGTGACGAATTTTTATGAGGAGAGATAAGACATTAAGAATTAGTTGATTCAGTGGGACTATCAGAGATAAGTACGTTGTTAAATTGCGGGAATGAAAAGCATCCAAGACAAATGTAGAGACAAATCAGGAGTGAGACGAGGCTAGGGTGAATTGCAAGGGTGTTCCGAGGGTGAACGAAGGATGTCTGATCGCGACGGTCGTCCTTGGAAGTTCGTCCTCGACTCATGGCCAAGTTTGATTGGGTGGCAGCCAGTGGCACTGCGCTGGGGCTTCGGCGAGCGTGCGGTATGAAGCCTCAACACAAACTCTATCTCGGGCGGTGTTTCATCTCGTTATCTTACTGCTCTTTGATTTTTTTTTTTCTTTATTTACTCTGTTTTCTGTATGAGAAAAGTTTGATTTAGTGTTTGATTTTCTTTGAGGCAATGCGTCGACGGGAAATATTTTCTTCGATATTTGTATGGATTCACACGCAAACCTTGTAAATACACAAGGAGAGTATGAGTGAAAAAGTTAGATAACAAGTAAAAATTCAGAACATATTTCCCTTGTTAAGAAACACAAGAATGTAAAATCCTACCTAGCGCTCCCCGGCCGATGTGTTTCCTGTCATATTGTTCGTCAGCGGTCCGAGGGGCGGCGCTATCAGTGGGAGCCTCCGCCCCTCGCCGACTGGAGCTCCCGCCGGACAGGGAACGTCTTTTCACGCGCGTCTTTGATAGCGCTTTGAAGTCTCGATTTCCGGGAGCGTCTCCTCTCTCTCTCTATTTGTATTTCTTTTTCTTTTTGTCTTTTTGTTTCCTCTCTCTCTCTTTCTCTTCTCTCTCTCTCTCTTCTCTCTCTCTCTCTCTCTCTCTTCTCTCTCTCTCTCTCTCTCTCTCTCTCTCTCTCTCTCTCTCTCTCTCTCTCTCTCTCTCTCTCTCTCTCTCTCTCTCTCTCTCTCTCTCTCTCTCTCCCTCTCTCTCTCTCCCTCTCTCTCTCTCTCTCTCTCTCAATCTCATTCTCATTCTCCCTCATCCTCTCTTTCCCCTTCTCTTTCCTTTTCCCCTGCCTGTCCATATATATTGGTTTGTGCTCATTAACACAAATACACTCACACGCACACACTCACTCACACACACACACACACACACACACACACACACACACACACACACACACACACACACACACACACACACACACACACACACACACACACACACACACACACACACACACACACACACACACACACACACACACACACACACACACACACACACACACACACACACACACACACACACACAAACATACACACACACAAACACACACACACGCACGTACGCTTTCGTATCCGCGCAACCTTGGAGACTTTATTATGTAAGACCAACAAAGACCCAAGAATAGTTATGACGTGAACACAATGCAAATGAACAGAGTTTCGAAATGCATTGTCTGTTCTCTTGCCGGGTCTTGCCGCACTGATGGAAAAGGGGTAGGGGGAAGGAGGGAGGGGAGGGAGGGTGATGGATGGATGGATGAGGGGGAGGGATGAGGGATGGGGATAGGAGGAGGAGGGAAAGAGGGGAGAGAATTGGGGAATGAGGGATAGAACAAGGAATAGGAGAAGGAGGAAGGATGAATGAGGGGTAGGGAGAGAGGGGACGTGGGGGGTGGGGATTGGAAGAGGAGGGGGACTGATGAAATAGGGGTAGGGGGGGGTAGCGGAAAAGAGAGAGGGGAAGGGATAGATGAGTGGTAGGGATAGGAGAAGGAGGGAGAGGAGGAAGAGAACTAGGAAATGAGGGATAGGGGAAGGAGGAGAGGGCTGATGAAAAAGGAGGGAGGGGAATAGATGGATGATGAATGGGGAAAGGAGGAAGAGAGCTGAGGTATGAAAAAAAACAGAGGTAGGAGGTAAAGGATGGAAAGGAACCAAAATACATATTAAGGAAGGACAGAAATAAGAAGTGGGGGGGAAGGGGCGAGTGGCAAAAGGAGGGGAAATGGAAGTGAAGGGAATTAGGAGGACGGGACAAGGGAAGGGTGAACAAGTCTGGTGGGGGGGGGGGGGGGCAGATAATGTCATGTGCTGTGACATGAAAATAGCACCATTGTTGGCGTGCCTCCTTTGTGGCTTCCACGTTGCACAGAGGGTTACTTGTTGATCGGTACTGCTCGTCAAAGTGCTCGTGAAAGCCGATGAAAGTTATGAAATGGTAAGCTAGTTATTTAGAGCAGATCACCACGTTTCAGGCAGTATTTACCCTTGCGCAAAGTGTGTAATTCTTTTAAAATTAGCATTTCTGATGCAATACGCTGCACTGTATGTCTGCGCT